ATTAGGGATGGGGGGTGCACAGGGTACCTTTGTCTGGAATCATGTCCAGCTCACTGATGTTACTGCTTGGAACACCAGCTGGGCGGGACGCCGGCCAGAGAGTCACAGGCTGCTACAAGCTCTTAGTAACCTGGGACGCTCTGGCTGCAAAGGAGGAGGCAGTGACCCAATTAGAGCCTGCCTGAGGCAACCGCCTTAGGCTGTCTCATTATAGGGATGGCTCTGGTAAGTGGCACAAATTGGTAATTAAATTGTTTAGGTAATATGTAAAACATAGTGTTCGGATCCTTCTTATAGTTGACCTGTATCTCCACACCCATGGGTCACAGCCCAGAGTTATCTTGGGGCTAACAGATATCTTTGTATGAGTAGACTAATCTAGAAAATGTTTTTTGGTTTTGCCAACAAAGACTATGGCCTATTTTGTTGCTTGTTTTAGTGCTGAAATGATGTATAATGGAGCATAAATCCGACAAGTCTACACATCGTGAACCTAAAACTGCCTGTGCCTAGGAAACTAATGTCTGTACATAGCACATCTCTAGAAGGCTTTTAGCTGCTTTATCCTACAAAACCGATGTCTCCACTCTTTTTAGCTACAGATTCCATCAATGTCGCTACTATTTTTAGCTACAGATCCCATCAATGTTGCTACTATTTTTAGCTACAGACCCCATTACCGATTCTGTTCAGGTATATTGGCTATATTTGCTTCAAATAATTATGCATATGTGTTTATTACTAAGACTGAGCAACAACTAAAACAGATGCCTCTTACCTCTCCATAAGTAATAGTGTTATTATATACCCTCATTTCAGGGTATACATTCTCCAGGTACCACTTAAAACTACGACACTGCAGTGTCTGACGGAGGGCTATTCTTTCAGATACATCTCCAAAGTCCACTCCAGGATTCTATAAAGAGATTGTAAGATCCATTATCTTTTTAGTAAGCATGATTCACCTTACTAGCTCAGACATTCCCCATGACAATGTTACAAAGGATATTGCAGTGAACGTGTCAAGATTTTTAGGGAGATCATCAATTCCTTCTGATAAAAAGAACAGGCTTAACGTGATAACCATACAAAGTCATCTCATATTCATGTAACCAAGTAAAATAATTATATTTCCCTTCCACTGCATTTATTTCTGTGAAAAGTGGGGTTTATTTCCTTAAGGTAAATAGGCTGTTCACTTTGCAACGGAAATTTCACTTTTTAGGGGAAGTTTTCCTCAGCTTAGTAAATGCGGAGGAAATTCACTTTGCAAAGAATACCCAATCACATGCAAGGAAAAAAAAAAAAGTATTTTTGCTTGCACATGATTGGATGATGGAAGTCAGCAGAACTTCATCTCATGCACTAAGCTAAGAGAAATTTCCATTGCAAAGTCAAAATTCTCTGCAAAGTGAACAGCATATTTGCCTTTAGAAAACCAACACCAATATTCTAGTGTAGAGCTAAAAGCATTTTTTTCTTTTGATATAGAATGCAGGAATGATACAGCACACAACAACGCACCACAAATATAGTTGATGTTAAAAAGACAGGAAGACAGTCTTAAAATCACTTACTCTTGAAGATATTTATACCCAGAACAAGGCTCTAACTTGAAGAGCCTTTTTAGGATCTTGAAAGCTGTTGACAGGTATAAAGTGAAGGCACCCAGATAAAATGCCTATAGAATGTCTGTACACACCTGCAGCAGCTTTTAGTATCATCTCCTACGCCCATTAACCTCCCTGGCGGTTATGATTTTAAATTTTTTACATGTCATTTTTCGGTCTACTTTTTTTCTAATTTTTTTTCTTTGTCGTTTTTTTCTGGGTTTTTTTAATATCCCGCCGGTTCCGACCCCCTGCAACGCGTATGCTCGCAAGCGACAGAACCTGGAAAACGGCATTGGCCGCAGAACGCAGCGCGACTCGAGTGACAAGGTAAGTAAATGCAATGCGGCTTTCCCGAGTGTAGCTCGGGGTTACCGCTTATGGTATGGAAAATTAACCCCGAGCTACACTCGGGAATACCGCCAGGGAGGTTAAACTAGTTTTAAACAATCAAACTTTTTTTTTCAATAATGAATTTCAGATCAAATGAATATGCATTGCCCAACAAAGTATTTCTTTACTTGTGTGCCCACACACAGTCATCATGTTTCCAAACAATAGAAAACACAAAAATTCCCAGGGAAAATTACCGGCTAGCCTTCAACAAAACAAATTACACTATCTAACAAATGCATTAGAAGTAGAGGTTTTAGTTGCACAACTTTTGCAAAATATGTGGAAGCCACACTGCCTCATCAAGACTCCTCTGTGAAGTGTGGTCCTAACTCTAATCTATGAGAGCCTTCATCTTGGAGCATATAAAGCAGTAGATAAATTGAATGTTGGTATGCCTGGAGGTGCCCTACTCCTCCTTAAAGGCACAGGGATGCACTGGAGGCCCAGCACTTCAAAACATATGCTGAGGCCTCCAGTGCATCCCCACACCTAATACAGCCAAGTTAAACAGAAATGGCAACCTGTAATACCTGTCAGCAGTTTTCAGTAATCTTAAAGCTGAAGGCAGGGCAAACAGCTGAATATGCTGTTGAAATACATATATGAAAGCTGTCTTATTTGCTAAAGAATTTCTATTTAGCTTGCCTGGAAATCTGACTTCTGCAGCCAAAGAAACACAGCTAGTTCATCTCCCTGCCAACAGTCTATGATTGCATAGTGAAGGAGTAGCAACAGACTTATGAGGTCATCGTTCTGCTCTGTGTTCCCCTTAGCATGTTCGTTGTCCGAAGATATGAGTACAGGGCATCTCATTGGCTCCTTTTGCAGTCTGAGTGCTGCTATACAGCGGATTAGAAAAGGCTAGAATCATGCACTCCAAATGAGTGTATGATAAAATAGTGATATGCAGAGATTACCTGCAGTGAAAAACAAATGCCAAAATGATCAGTATATGAAGAGATACAGGCAGCTGAAATTATATAAAAACCTTGAGTGTAAAAACATCCAAGGTCCTCCCTTTGGTTTCAACTCTTAAACTTCCATATTAATGTGATGGTTGGCCTCGTTGGCTAATAGGGAGGATAGAGAGAGACAAGATGGAGCTCAACATTTATAGGAATAGTTCAGATGTGCACAGAACTTTGTATAGCTGTATCTCTGGATCTACTGAATATATTTATATTAATATACTGTTTTTATTTGAAGGAAAACCATGCTTCTGCATGTTTTTACTATATGAATTGCTTTGAATTGTAAGATGTTTATTTAAAACAACTGGCCCAATAAAGTATTTAATTACTTTCCTACACATTTAAAAAGCAAGGGTTACATCCAAAATCACATATGTATGTTCCTTACCGTCATGGGTATGTTCCATGCCATGTAGACATGGGACTTAAATTCATCCATCCACACTTCAGCAGCTCTTAGGGCATTACGCTTTGCATAGTAGTCAATGTCATTGTTGTAAGGCTTCTTTGTTCGTTCAATATGAGCAACCCTGGAGCAAGGCAAAACTTCCATACTGCCCCCGCATTGCCAGACCTGGAAGATGGGATAAAAAGATGTCTTTGCTGAATGCCAATAATAAACTCTCTTATTTCATTCATCCAACATGTAATACATGTCCTATATCATAAGCTCATGAAAAGAATATTGCTTACTTTGAACTCCAAATTTATATTATTATTCTTGTTACTATTACTCTTAGAATTGCTGAAGCAAGGGTTACAGTGTTCACTAGCTGTTAGGCCTGGAAAAGGAAGGGAGGTCTTTACTGCAACCCCTTGCTTCTAAATCATGTACATCAGCTACTCCTCCAAACACCTCTTGCTTAGTGTCATAGCTAATATTCTTCTTTGTAGGCTTTTTCTACCACCAGGAAGATGCTTATAGTCCTATGTCTCTATGGGAGACTTTGGGATCTTACACTCCAAGGCCATGAACTGCTTTGAGTTCCTTCTGCTAGTTAATGTTTCATTCTCCATATTATTATATGGAAAAAAATAACTGGAGTGGATTAGAAGGCAACATGGATTTTTTGGGAAGGCAGGGCAGTTTTCTAATGCTTACCTTATAAAGTAATCAATTTCTTATGTTTGTGCTAACATAAGTAATTAGCAAGTTATCAAACTAAATGCAAATCAATATATTATTGGCTAGTAATTTGCTAATTTAAAAACCCAAGCTATACAAAATGTTACTTTTAATTTTGGGTTATATGATATAGGGCTATAACATCTTTCATGTTTCTATTTCAGGCTTTGTCTCCATTAGGAGAATTATACTTCACTTTTTGTCCCAGTGTTCGCACAGGGAACAAAAGTCCCTATTGATGAGACTTTGCTTAAGCCAGCCATACACTGTAAGATTCCTCTTATTTGCACCTGTAGGTTGAACTAAAGAAATCAATTGATTTTTCCATCCACATTAAACAGTATAAATGAAGGAAGATCTCCTGCCAGCTACTCAGCAACATGCAGGATCTGTGGCTGCTCAATATCCACATGTTATTGGAAGCAGTCACTGTTCAACCACCAATTTTCCACCTGGTGGTACTGACAGGGTCACCAACAATTTCCTGATGAACTGGCCAAAATTTGAGCTGTTGAAGGCACCACCTTTGAGCAGTGTATGGTCAGCTTTACTTCTTGTGCCAGTGACTACTCTGGAAGTGAGAGGTAATATCCCCTTTGGGAGTACAGACAACAATAAAAACCTAAAAGAAGTTCTCTAGTCAAAACTAGCAAAATTGTCTTCAGTGGAGATTAACTTCTTTAGAAGCCTCTAAATCTAATCTCTAAAGCTAATCAGTACATTAGCCAACTCATTTACAAACATTTTGACAAATAATATTCATATGAGCACTTCCGAACCCAGGGCCTCTGCTGTGTCTGGCAGTGGCTCTATCTACTTTGAAACCTTGGATAGTTCCTTGCCTGCTCTCATATGTAATCCTCAGTTAAATCTGGTGTCTGCTAAACTCTGAACTTCTGGCTCCTCCCTTGAACTTCCTATTTAAGCCATGCCTCTGCACTTTCTGTTTGCCAGATTATTGTGTTCCTGCAAATATCTTGCTTCCTGCTCCTTCTGTGATACAATCCTTTCATACTGCTACCTTTGTAACCGATCTTTGGCTGCTGATTCACCGACTACTCTCATCAACTTCTGATTCATACCTGATACCTTTGGCTACTGACCTCGGCTTTTTCTCTGACTACGCTTCTGTCTGCTCCTATACTACTACTATCTGCTTGTGTACTGAACTCGGCCTGTTATACCATGAATTTGCCTGCTGTTTCAGCTACTGGATTCTGAGCCTGATCTCAGATCATGACAGTAACACTCCTCAACAAACCAGGGGTTGAAATGCTATTGGTTACCCACTTTGATTGTAAAGATCACCAATGACGTGACCTTTACTTTCTTGTATGCTTTAGAGCATATAACAGAACTGAAACTTTGTATTTTAAGACTCCAGCAAGAAAGTGGGAAGGAAGGAAGAACACAACAATGTCTGAGCTTTCTACCATCATTTCAATAAAACTGTAAGAACAAATAGAAGAGAGGCATGCAACAAATGTACACTGGGGCTAAATTTGTATGTATTCCTTGTAGTGATGCCACACGCACAAATCACAAGTGAAGTTATCATAAAAAGAACATTCAGTATTTCCACCTACAGACCCTGCTTCTTCCTCTCTACTGGAGTCCTGTTATATGCAGCAGAGATCTCCAGGCCTTTCCTGGAGCTTAGAGATTAACACATACTTGTTAAATCAAAACATACAGTAACATTAAAAACAAGAAGCAGTTTGGCTGCTGATAATTCACCAGCAACAGAAAAAAAGAAATTGAAGAAAAAAGTGGAATAAGATGAAAAGATGTGTGAAGGGAAGATTTTTATAGTGAAACTGTTTATAGGTAGCCAGACAATTCAGTTCTTATGGACTCCTGCCAGCACTGATCGGAATAGTAGAGCTCAAGCTAACTAATTATATTATAAGAACTATTGGTTACTGCAACACAATTATAGAAGAACTATTGGTTACTGCAACGCAGTATCGTTGTGTTGTGGTTGCAAACTTACCACAGCACACAATTAGCTTTGACTCCACGAACCCTACTCTATTACATATTCCAAGCCTATATGTGTCTTGAAAACTCCTTGGTTACTTTTGGCCCAGGAACTTCTACAGGTTATAAACAAAAGTCCTGCATGGAGCGCTTTAAAGCTCATCTCCAGGTATCTTGTTTTATTATACCCCATTCTCCTTTTGACACTGCATTACATGCATCCAAAATACATTTTACACTACCTTACCCCAAAGCCCTGTGATCTCCATCTTTATAGCCAGTGACATCTTCTGTCACTGGCCTAAAGTTTGGGTTCTGGTTGCCAGAAAGAGAATTTCACTGCCACGACCCAAACTCGCTCCTGTGATAGACTACAATCTCATGTTTAGTTAGCTAATTTGTATTGAGATTGTAGTCCATCACGGGAGTGAACTTGAAGGAGTGGCTACTTTACAACACACACAGGGACCATGGGGAACAAACGTAGCCACCCTCCAGAAGGGAGGACAGCGTCAGCACAAATTCAAATATGAATTGAGGCTCTACAGCTGTGTGATATCTAAATAAGCTAAATTTTTGTTAATAGTTGGGGTACTTGAATACATTTTTAAGGTTTAACTCCAGAGTTCAGTGTCACTTCAATATGTGAGCAAATGAATGCATTGATAAGCTTTAAAGGTCCTCTCCTTCTAAAAATTCTAGTTCACTGGTTTGCAGATCAAGAGTTCTGACCTCACTCTTATTTCCCTGGCTGCATCAGTGGTTCAAAACAAGGAACAGCAAGTATCAACACTATAACTACAAAAAAATAGCTTCTTTAGACACAGGTCAGCATTGGTAGCATCCTTATTTCTCTCAGGTATACTTTAAGAAGTATTACTGTACTGTTATTCACATACAATCATAGCAAATAAAACATCACAATGGTGAAGATTCCAATACCCTTCAGGTAGTGATGTTAGTGAGTTTTACATTTTTCAGTACTGTAGACGTTGTTCGGAATCATAATTCAATAACTTGAGGCAATGCTCTTTCTGGTTGTTTTCCTAAAGCTGACTCACAGCACACACAAGGCTCATCCTCTACTGTATTTCAATGTAATACAGGCTGATACTCTTTAGACTACTGCGTAAAGCTGTCCTAGTTTTTGGGTCCTGAGACTATTCTGAAAATATGTTCTTTCACCTAACCTCATTATGATGATGTGATTTAAAATCATAAGAAAAACATATGGCAGCTAGACACCGGCAAGCAAGGGGGCTTGGGCATGCAGGAAGATCATAAATGAAGCAAATAGTCAAACGGAGGCAGTCAAGGTTAGAGAGAAAATCTGACCAGACCCTGCAGTTAAATTATGTTCAGACACTTGAAGTCTTAAAAGCCATTCTAAAACACTCTCTAACAAAGAAGAATACTAATTGCTTTCAGATTAACTCAGCACCGCCATGTAAAGTGTATATATACTGGTATAAGATCCACAATCTAAAAAGTGCTTTCAGCACGTGCCTTTGTTAGAATCTTTCTGCAATTTGGAGCAATAGAAATGAAATGTTACCTTCTAATGTATTTAACAAATGATCCCCACTTTCTCCTCAATGCCCTCATCCCAATTCAATCACCTAATATTAATGATGGCATGATCATGCCAATAATACTATGCCAGTTCTTTGATAGTATTATTGGCATGTCCACAGTCAGGAAAATCATCACAGAAGTTTCATTTGCACCCACATATAATTAGTAGTCACACTGAATGCACTTTTAAAAATCTTCAAAACCAATAAGTGTACTTATTAGGGTGTTCCTAGTTAATGGATGGTCTCTCCAATTATATATTTAAATATTTTTTTTAAATCACCAATTATGATGATGTAAACATAGTAAGAACAAATATATCTATTTTTAATTACATGCAATAAAAAATTCAGTGAAAGCAGTTCCCCCTCTCTTTATTCTTCTTTAAAAACATTACTGAAGTCAAATTGTGAGGAACCACTGACTTCCACACCTTGTGTTAACAGCTGGTGTGCCTCTGTTCCTGCATTTGGCATATGCCATTACCATCTGCTGATCCAAATACTTACACTGCAATTGCACTGCATTGTACTGGCATAATGTTTAACCTCTTCCCAACCAATGTCTGGATTATCCCATCTCGATCATTCAGTTAGTTAACAACCGGTGACAGGGTAATCCCGTCACGCGGTACAATGAGTGCTGGTCCATAAAACTGAAAATGTGTTTTTTTTCTTTTTTTTGTATTTTTTTGTAAACAAAATAAAAAGTTATATATGCATATGTCATGTCAAATTAAAGCCCATTTTGTCCTTTAAAAAACGGTAAATAATATGTGTAGGTGCAATTCCTGAGGATGATGGAAAATATGGTTAAACAAACGCATAGCAAAAATGGCAAAATTGCTCCGGTTCCCAGGAACAAAAAAAAATTGTGTCATTAAGGGGTTAAGT